TAATTGTCAATATAAATTATTAAGCTGGGCTCTGTCTTGTAATTCTGACCATTTCTGTGTCCTCTTCTTGACTGTTCCACTATGCAATTAAAAAAATGAAGGTTGAAAGGCCTCTCGTCTATTTCAAGTGAAGTTAATGTTAGAAATTTGTCAAATATCACCACAGAATTTTCTCTGGAGAACTTACTTTTCAATTTTCTGATGTTACTATCAAAAAAATTATTTCCACTTTTTGTATTTAACAAAATACGGAATGCTTTTCAAAGTCACCAAGAAACAAAATCTGAAAGGTGTATTTTTGCCACGCGTTACCATTTTCGTAGACCAATAATTGAAAGCGTATCTACATGGGTTTGTTGGAGGCGTGGAGAGGTAAACTTTTCTTGATTACAGATAGCTATTTTAATTAAATGGATCACATGCTCTAATACAGCACCCCGAGACTTCACTAAGAAGAAAGAGGACATAATACTCGGATAGAACATATATGGAGGAGATTGGGGCTACTGACATGGCCTGGAGGCCAGCCTACCCGGCGAAGGTACAATGGCCAAGAAACTAAGTGGCACCCTCACCGAAACCGAGAGTTAGGCAACCAACGTATTGCATAACTGTTCCGAATTAAGGCAAAATCATTGCACCAAGTAGAATGCTGAATCAGCTTTTTAAATAGAACTTTTTTTGGTATGTTTGATATCCGTGCCAAATTTTGGATTACGAGGTAGAATGTGTGTCGTTTTAATGGTTATTTACTGGGCAATGTTATAACCTCAGATTAAAGCAGTGGACTATCTGCACTGCCAAAGTTAGAACGCAATTAAATGCCAAAAAAAGCATAGTCCTCTGTCTCAACTTCGCTCGAAGCTACCCCAGTTTTTGTGTTTTTTGCAAGTAAATAACAAAACTCAAAGGTTCCGCTATCCTTAAAAGACAATACTATGAGTGAGCTCATCAGGACGTGTCAAGACTTAAGGGCAAAGTTTTTTAAGAACAATTAATATAGGATTGTTGATGTGTAAGTTACACAACTAGGGCCACAAAACGGAGTGAGTTTTAAAAAAGCATCCATTGATAAACTAAAACAAAGCAGGTCAAATGAGGGTCGTGTGTGAGACAAATACAGCAGTAATTAGTTAAATAGGAAGAAAAATTACACCTTGCAACAAGCTAACCTCAGGGGCAGTTAGAGAATAAAATGATCGACAAAGCCGTTGGTAGAGCCCAAGAGTGGTGCAACAAGTGGCACTACCGGTGATAACCGTTCTCACCACCTGCCAGAAACTAATTTACCAAGACAAGACATTAAGTTTATTTTTGTGGGCGGGTTTGGTCACCCACTCATGCATTCTATTGACAATACTTTCTCAATCACAATCCCAAAAGACAACAAATTCGCTATTAAAATAAAAGAATTACAAATCTCTACTGTACTACTGAGGTGACTAATGCCAGTGCAATTTTTCCCTTAGTGCATTTTTGGGGATGTACCACACTTGACATGTGGTATCATGTCATTGTTGTGATGTGAGCCAAGAAAGCTG